TTGGAACACACAGTCGTCCTCGAGTCTCTTATACTCCTTAACTTCTTGTAGAGTATGCCAAGAATGTACTTTTTCTTACCTAATGAACTGACTTCCATCTCAGAGTTCCCGATTCGCGAAACCTGGGGTGGAGCTTTCAGATTTGCATTTCTAACTTGTTCCTTGATGATGTGCTGGCCATACTTTATCTGATTTCTTATGAACAATGGTTCTGAAACTTTGTTGTGTTGTTAAAAAGCTAGTAAAATCATGGAGATTCTGGATTTTTGAACTAGAATCTAGTCTGGGCCTTTATGTTTTTACCAGTTTCTCAGAGGATGCAGATACTAACAAAAGTTTAAGAACCACCGCTTCAATTAGAGCAGCGGTTCTCAACTGAGAGTGATTGTACTCCCCAGAAGACATTTGACAATATCTAGAGGCATTTTTGGTTGTCGGATCTGGGGCGTGGTGGGTCGGAACATTCATATTGTTGGTGTCTAGTGGGTAGAACCAGGAATGGTGCTGACCATTCTGCAATACACAAGACAGCTGCCTAGAAGAAGTAATTATTCAGTCTAATGTATCAGCGGTGGCAAGCCTGAGGCATATAGCATAGTTTGAGCATTGCAAGGCTCGTCTAATTCCCTTAATTCAAAAAGGAGGATACTTAGACCCACAGGTAGGCAGTAGCAGGAGTACAATGCTTCATTTGATATAGCAAAATATAAAACATATATGCTAGATGTCATGGGGCAGTGGGTGATAGTATTTTTGTAAATTCTTTTTTAAAAAGCGAAAGAAAAAAGCACATGACAGTAAGAAAGAAAGAAATATGATTTGAGAAGAGATGACATTGGAACATAAAATGTTGACATTTCTACTAAGATAAGTATGAACTGGGAGACTGAAATTTTGCTTTTGTTCCTATTCTTTATAAAAATCAAAGAATAACCAGAGCACAAGAGAATCCATCCAAAAACATTAAAAGACATTCTGGGTGACAGAGCCCTTTTTATTACATTTGGAAAGAGTCTTGACAGAGCTTGAATTTCCTTTTGACTTCTGTTTACAAGTCAACAGCATAATTGCTCTGTCTTGCTTTAGAGAACCATTAGCAAGTAGGAATTCAGAAGAGATTTTTAAGGGCCTCTTATTTTCTCCAAGTCAGCTTAGTTTTAAA